AGTTAGCCGAGGAAAGAGAGTAGCTACTCATTAAAGCATTAAAGATGGTGTTGTTAAATGACTAAAATGCTCTTAGTTAGATATGAAATAACCAAAATACTTTTAGAAAAAATTACCAAAATGCCCTCAAAACCCTATCTATTACAACCACCAACCATGACCACTCGTCCAATCACCTTCGGGCATATGATTGGTCGGGGAAGGTTCATCCGAGTCTCCTTTATCTTTTAATGAAGGTGGTGTTGCTCATAATGGTTAGAGGAGGGAAATCTATGCCGATTGACTATTATCATTTTCTTCTTCTTCCTCGACCATGTTTCTAGCCATAGTAAGGCAAGAAGAGAACACCAATCAACTCATAAGATTGTATGGAGAATTTTTATGATGGTCGAGAGGTCTAATTCGGTCGAGTAGGAAGTTTAGTCGACTTATGTTAAATGGGTCGGAATCGAGTTGCCGATCAATCATCATCAATTTAGGAGTTTTCTTCCAAAATTGCTAGAAAGGAATGGTTATTGGAGGCTTGAGGAAGCCTTCGTGGTGTTGGTACCTATCAATTTGGCCGGAAAATGGCCAAATCATAAAAAAGAAGAAAACGAGTCAACCAAACTTCTCCTCTTCAATTTCTAGTGATTTCAAGTTTTTCTCTTTAATCAAACTTTTAAGGAGTTTTGTTAAACTTTAGATAGGGAACAATTTTAGGTTATTTTAGGAGTTTGATTTTGTCAAAACTCAAGTGACTTGTGAGAAGAAAATCAAAATCGGTCACGGTCGATAAACGAGTCAACTATCCAACTCTACTTGGATCCTCTTTTTTTTTTTTTCTAAGGGGAGGGAAATTAGAATTTGGTAAATATTAGTTTTAGGCCTTGGTTTCTTCATATTTTTTAATTTTGATATAATTTTATTTTCTTGCATTTCAATTACACCCTTTCATTGAACTTAATCAAGACATTCTTTTAATTTGCTTCAATTGTACCTAAAAATCATATTTTTTTTCAAATGACTCTTTCTTCTTTTTTTTTCTGTTTTTTTCTGTATTTTTTTATGTTAATAGTTTCACCTTCTTTACAATGCTTAAAATGTAAAGTCATTGAAAAATGTTTTTTTTTTCAAAAGGTATGGCATGGCCACTATTTAACTAGAAATGAGGTGACAAAGCATGTCAATTTGGAAAGACATGATCGACCATATTGATTTGAAATGATATGATAGATAACGTTGATTTGAAAAGATGTGACTAACCACATCGATTTAGAATGATGTCACAAACCACATCAATTTGGAAGGACTTAACAAACCATATCGATTTGGGAAGATGTAACGGATCATGTTTTTTGACAAGACATGATAGATCGTTCGACTTAGAAGGGCATGGCGGAGCATATTGAGTCATAAAGAAAATAAGCAAAACATAATTAGCAACTTAGAGTCTTTAGAAAAGCATAGGTCATCATCGCTAAGATATAGGTTTTTTTTCTCTTTATTTGTGTGTCATCTAGATTGAATAGGTTCAAACTTCTAGGCTAGCTATTTTTCTTGAGCTTGTCTGTTTACACTTTTATTATGCCTTTTATCCTTGTGTTCATGGGAATTACTACTTTGACCAATGCTTGTGTTATTTAAGTGGTGTTCATTCCTCTAATCGAATGGAAGATAACTATTCTTTTATGTCTCTCATTTGGTACTTGTCCCTAAATGTTTAGACTTTCAACATCACATATCAAAATTCGACCTCAAAATAGTTGAGATGGCTTTTTATGTCAACTGTCTATAATTCATCATGAGGAAGCTTGTAACAGATTTCATAAAGATAAACCTCTTGTAGACCAAGTTCGAATACAATTCTTATCATGCCATCATATGTCAATTTGATGCAATATCATATTTCATGAATAATATCAATTACAAGATCGTGTATGAGACCAAAGAGCTTTTTCTTTTTAGGGATTAATCATATTTGTGAAAGTAAGGTTTCTTTAAGAAATGAAAGATCATGAATTATATTATGTTGGGTGAGTTAAGAATAGACGAAGCAAAGTCAAACGATCGTGCCAATGAATAGTTAGCCATAACTCAAATTATCAACTTATTGCTCTAGATAGAAGGGGAGTTGAAATGCTCGGCCTTCTAGTGCCGACACAATTTTATGATCAGTTTAATCATAACATATTTTCAAATATTGGTAGTGATCATCCATTCATCATTTGATTTTTGTTGTTCCTACTCATGTTGTTCATCTTCTTTTGATGTTTACACTTGATCATATGAACTTGTCTTTGAGATTTTTTAAATTTTCAAAAAGTTATTTTCATTTGTTTTGACTTTTATGGATTAGGCCACCTATTTGAAAATTTTCCATCAAGACAAGTTGGATTATCAAAAAAAAAAAAATCATAGAGATGCTCATAAGAATGTAATCTCATTCAAGAAGATGTTCAATTCACTTGGTCAAATGCTAAAATACGTCACACAAATATCGTGATACAACCTTCAAGGTGATCATTTTTGGACAAAATGAGCAAAATATATTCGAATCACATAAAAGTTTGGAAAAGAAATAGTCCCTTTTGAAAGTGTGATTTGTTAGAAATTGGCTAATAGAGAATGATGTTCAAATGGATTTTCTAGATTCAAAGAGTTTTAAAGGAATTTAAGCTCAAATAGGTATTCTTGCCTAGAAAGACCCAATTTATTTTTCTTGCTCCCAAATATTTGATGAAAAACTCATGATTTAATATCATAAATGATGATTTGTAATACACGTACAAGTCAAGTTTTATTCAAAAATATATATTTTTTTCATTTCAAAGCTAAGACTCATCAATACAAACAAGTTATCTTTGATAAGTAAGGTCTTTCATAAGCATATAATGTATCTTAAGGTTTTAGCTTATGAATGAAAAGATATAAAAAGCTCAAAAAGTGTTTAAGGGTATGAAGACTTAAGATCACTTAATCGTAAAAAAAAATCACTTTAGGCATGTCATTTTGACTTTGTCGGTTTCACAATTGGTTTCACTTTTTATATCACTTGACACTTATAAAAAATCACACTAGGCATGCCGCCATGACTTTATCATCTTGCCAATTGATCTTGTTTTCTAATCTCGGCTCTTTTTTATGTTCACTATTATCATTATTATTATTATTATTATTGGATTTCTAACCCTTTTTAACTTCTAATCACGATAAAGGTCACTCTAGATAGCACTTTCTTTTTATCTTAGTGCTTTCACTTTTTTTTCATTTCTCTTTTTTTTTTATTCTCATTTCTCTTTCAAAGTCTTTTCAAGGGTTTTCTCGATGAGTTTTTTTTTTATGAGCTATCATCATTATTTATCTTTACATTTTTTTTAGGATAACATTATCAATCATTCATAAACTTTCAAAATTAACCCTAATTTAAGGGATGATCGTAGTCTAGATCATCATTAAAAAAACAATTCTTAAGACTCAAAGTTGGATAGCAAAGTATAAGTTTTTGTTTATGAAGAAGTGTATTAAAAATGACATTTCTTCATCTCAAACATGATCTTGTTCAAGTTGATAAGCTATAGTTCCTTTTGGAAACTATTATTGAATTATAGAGAAGAAGTGGTGGATAAGGTGTGATCATTACTCAAATGTGTACCACTCATCATCGTTTAAAACATCACGTTATTTATTTTTCATCATGGGCATCAATGTATTGTCCTAGGCATGAATGTATTATCCTAGGTAAGACTATCCTCAAAGTGGTTTATTAAGAATAGGCAAAAGTGTTTTTAGTTTCAAAAAGTAGGATTACCCCTAACATTTACATGGCATGTTTTCAAAATTGATCAATATTGAATGATTTTGAATGAGTTTGCCATTTTATTTATTTTAATTTGGATGATATAAAATGACAATGATAGTTTCAAGTACACATCTATTGATTTCAAATCAATAATAAAATCATACCAAGATTATTGGAATTTATTTTTTAAAGAAATGATTCAATCCATAAAAATCATAATACTTTTGCAAATGAAATCTAAAAATTCGATATAAGGTAAGATTTAATTCATAAAATCAAGACACATTCATCCTTCTTTGACAAGCTTCAAGCATTCTTCTTGCATTCATTCTCATGCACATTATAATCGAGTTATGCTGACCTTTTTTTTAGCACAATCATTTAGTGTTTTTGCTTTCAAGAGATGATCATATTAAATATCCTAAAGATAGGGTGAAAATAAGAATAAAACACAACATAAGAATTATGGCAAAGGTGCCAATTTGAGAAGAAAATTTACACAATCCCTTAAATTAACATCATATGAAAGCATGATAGATAAATGCGATAAGAAAATTACCCGACCTTGAAAAAATAAAGACGCTTTTTTATTTATTTATTTAAATGTAAGTATATAAATCAAAGTAAAACCGAATTGGAAAACCGACAAGTAACAAATACGGGATTTACAAAAAGGGAACGAGGCTCCCAAAAACCCGAACTAGAGCTTTACCTAGATTGTTGCTCAAGGAAACAACCTAGGAGAGATTCCAAGAGAAACCAAACGAGTAACTAAAAGGAGCCTAGCTAAGACCTTTTACAAAAAGCTCAACAGACTTACAAAACCATTGCTTGAAAGAGCAAAAAGGAACAAAAGCCTAACCATGTACAAGCAATTTTGGATACAACACGGTGGAGATCAACATACAACCTAAAAAGTAGCGAGTTAGGTGGCCTTGCCAAGAACGGGCGGGGTAGCAGAGCCTACCCAAAGAGCACGAGCGAGAACGAGGAGCAAGCGGGAGCAACGACGAATGATCGAGCCTCGATTAGCCAAGAAGACCAGCCCGATTCGGGGTTGGGCAACATGACTTGCAATAGGAACGAGGAACGAGCGAAGCCTCGAGCGACGGCCGAGAAGGATGGGCCAAATCGGTGACCTCCAACGTGACTTTGCCAAGTACGGGATGGGCGGCAGAGGCCGCCCAAAGCGAGCTGGAGCGGCGGCCGTGGTCCGGCCTTAGTCAGCCGAGAATGACGGCCCCAGCCGGAGCCGACGGACGTGACCGAAGCGGGAATAGGCGGATCCTCGAGCGACGACATAATAGGGTCGGGGCCTAGCAAGTGAAGTAGCTACAATCCGGCATGATAGTGCGGCAGAACCGAGGGGAGGGGACCGAACGAGCATAGTAAGCTTGCCGAGGTGAAGTTGGCGAGATGAGATTGACGGAGGGAGAAGACGGAACCAAAGCGACCACCTAGAGAGAGGGACGCACCCGGGCTTGAGAACAAAGGGAGAGCGACGAGAGAGGCTTGGCGAGCGGTGCGAAAGCCGGGGGATGCTAGAGGAGCATCAACCGAAATAGACCCTCACCGCACTTGAAGTAGAACTCGAAGGCAAGCGGAAGACTCAGCTGGTGGCACAATTTAAAACCAAAGGCGAGAACCACCGAAGTAGAAAGCCGACGACAGAATGATATAATTCCCTTGCCAATCTCGGGATAAAGGATTGCCCTTCTATCTCACCCATTTTTCGAGGTGAGGTTTGTAGAGCATCGCCCAAACCGGAGAGCACGATAGGACCGGGAGGTAGCGGGATCAACGGCGAAGAGCCTTGCCATATCGGTCGAGAAGGTCCGCCGCATAGTGGAGAGCATACAACCGGGGAGCAACTAACGGAACCCTCGGATACGCACCCAAAGAGCGCGGCGAGGAACGGGGTAGGGACACGAGCGGCTTACGGCGGGAAGGCCGGAAGAAAAGGCTAGGCGGCGGGCGAAGGGAAGGAAGAACGGAGGAGCATCGGCCAATCGGACCCCAATTGCACCGTTACGGCCTAGTAGGGCCGGGGGCTAACAAGAGCGACGGCGACAACCTGGAAAGATAACCCAACAACACTCGAACAAAAGGGGAGGGGGAGGCGGACGATCGACCTAGTAGGCACGCCCGAGTGAGGTCGGCATACATGATCGAGCAGAGGGGACGGACACAACCAAAAGCAACCAAGCTAAATGACATAGGAAAATTAGCAAAAGAGGTCGGCCAGCGAGTGCGAAGCCAAGGGAGTCTAGAGGAGCGCTAGCCGAAACAAACCCTCAGCTGCGCTCGAAGCATAATTCAAGGACATGGCGGAATCACTCGGTGGACAAGCTGAACCCAACCCCCGACCAAAGGTCATTTCACAACCAACGGAGGCCTCATGCATCGGAAAAGAGGCCGCTGAATCCCGAAAATATGAGCACCCAAAAACCCGAATAGGCCAACAATCAAAGTGATCCCACATGCAATAGAGTCGGGTCGATTTGTGAAAGTAGTAAATCATGTAGAACATGATCCGAAATTGTCAAAAAACTTAATTCACCGAGTTTGATACGACTTCAAATACATGCATGTTGCGCTCTTCCCGGATCAAGTAAATGGTGAGGCCGAGTCCAACTCCCCTCATTCTAGCTTCCAGATTGTTACGCCTATTGGAGAGCCCGTGAAGAGCGCTATGAAGAGGTGACATACCTCCGTTAATGCAAAGCTAGCGTTTAATGTTTAACCGGAGGCCTGCTGCCCAAGCACAAGAAAAAAACAAGTGGCCGTGTGATTCAAGGCCTTGACCACGGAGAAGGCGAGGCTTCGCTAGAAGGATAAGTCGAAGACGATCCTTAGTCTTTAATGCTCCTCGAGTCGCCGACCAAAGGATAAAGGCATGCCTCGGCATGGACCAAGATTCCCAAACGAACGAGCCCGACTCGCGGGGTTCATTTACGGCGGAGATGAGCAAAGGCTATACGGGAGAAGCTACCCCTATAGAGTGCCATTGGCTTAGTTCACGAATAGCTACCACTTGGGTATGATATTTCCGGACTAGGAGATCTTTCAAGTCAATCACCTGCTTTCCACAAAGGTGAATCGGTTCGACGGGCATCAACCTCCCAAATTGGACGATCATGCAAGTAATAATGGTGGACCCATCGAATCTAGAGGGAGTCGGATTTGAGATGAATGTTCCAAAGACGTCGGGCTAAAAAGCTTTGGTTCTTCACTTTAATGTCTAGCAAGCCTAACCCGCCTTGGTCTTTAGGGAGGCGAGCTTTTTCCAAGCCAATAAGGCCGAAGAGCTTCTACGGGCATCCCCCGTCCATAAAAAGTTACGGCACATACTAATAATACTAGTAATAACTTCGACGAGTATAGGGAAGATGGAAATCCGGAATTGAATCATATCATAAAGGACTAATTGCAGCAACTCCAGCCTTCCCGCATAGGAGAGATGCTTACCCATCCGGCTACGAATGGCGGTTTCGAGACTATGAAGCAAAGGAGCAAGCCGACTAGCAAGCAATCGATGTGGGCTTAAGGGGACCCCCAGTATTTAAACGGGAAGGAGCCTTCGCGAGGCTCGGTTTCACGAGAGGATAGCATTTTTTGAGTCATGCCCACACCTCCAAAGAAGATCGGCGACTTAGCCACGTTGATGGTTAGGCCTAATGTGCGGTCGAAGAGAGATAGTTGGTGGGATAGAATCCGATGGAAGCTCGTATCTCCACGGCTAAGGAGGAGCACATCATCGGCAAATGCAAGGTGGGTGATGCCTAGGTTCTCTCATTTGGGATGATAGGTGAACCGAGAAGCCACGGTAGCTACACGGAGCAACCGAGAGAAATATTCCATACAAAGCACAAAGAGATAGGGGGAGAGGGGATCCCTTTCCTAACACCTGCTGCACCCGAAAAAACCCAAACATGTTCCCATTAACGAAATGGAATATGAGGCTAACTCAATGCATGCACTTATCCAAGCAACAAATCTGTTCGAAAACCCCAACTGTAAGAGCGATATGTTTTAGAAAACCCCATTGCACCGAGTCAAAGGCCTTACGGAAGTCTATTTTCAGCGAGGCATCGTGGAGAGGCTCTCTTGTGACCATACATACGGAGCATCTCTCGAACTAGGCAAATGTTGTCGGACATTTTCCTCCCATCAAGGAAGGCATTCGCATGGGACTGATAATCTCCGAAAGGGCTTAGGAGAGCCTAGAAGCAATAATCTTGGAAATTACCTTGTATATGACATTACAACAAGCGATCGGTCGGAAGTCACTAGGCAAGGTAGCATTGGCCTTTTTGGGGACTAAATTGAGCACACGATGGTCGACTTGCTTCAAGAGGCGGCCGGATACAAAAAATCTCGAATGGCTGCACGAAATCCCTACCAACTGTATCCCACGCTTGTTTGAAGAAAAAGGAAGAATAACCGTCCGGACCGAGGTCGACTCATTATCTATACTCGAACGGGGCACTGCTTAATTATTAGCCTCCGAGATGGGCGCGAGGAGAAAGGCATGATGGGTGGAAGATAAGCGAGGCCTAGCAGCTACAACGGTAGGGTCGAGGGGCGGTGTCCAAGGCCGTACCCAAACACTTCTTTATTAGACCATTCATTGAATTTCTTCCTTCGGATGGTCTCATAAACAAGTTGGTTGACATCAAAGACATCTTTAAGTGTGTTAAAAAAAGCACCATCATTTATAAACTACCAAGTATTGATCCAAACTGTATGACTTTGTTCTTAACATTGATTTTCTCTGCTCCGAAAATGTTCACTACCATAGCATGAGATGGTTGGCTCAAAATCGAGTCTTTGCTATATAAATCTATAATTTATGAAGATTTTTCGATTTCTTTTCCTCTCTTTTTACCTTAAGGTGTCCAACGCTAGCATAGTTTGTACCTTTTGATAAAATTCATGACAATCATCAATATCATATTTACTCTTTTTATGAAACTTGGAGAAGTACTTGGCATGAATAAGATCTTCGGACTTGACTGGTTTTTTATTAACCCTAATAGAAGATAAACCACGACAACGAGATAACATGTCAAATAAAAAGGATATAAAATTTTTCAAAACTATTTTTTTTTATCATACTCAATGTCATCAAGTGACAACATATTCACCTTACTTGGTAGAAACATGGTTTGGAAGAGGATTATTGTTCACATTTTAAGTGCCTAGAATATCCTCAAATGAAAGCAAGTCTTGATCAATCAATGAGCGAACATGCTTCTGAAGCTTAGACGGTCTTTGATATTATAACCAATTATGCCATCATAAGAATCATTAGGATTATACCACTTAAGAAATAGAGGTTGTCATGGGATAGTTGTCATATGAATTACTTATCTTGTAGCCATAAGATGTTGGGATAAGTTTTCAAGAGAAACTAGAAGAGATGGTAATATTTATTTATATTTTTTACATCTTATATTTCTTTGGTAGTCTTGATTGAATTGTCTCTATTGATGGATGAGTCTGCTGAAGACATTTTGTTTGAAAATTTTAAGGAAAAGTCTTTGAAGGATGAAAATGATTCAAATGATTGTTTGGATTGAAAGTATACTTTCCAATTTGGAGAACATTAGTGTTATCTCCTTACTAGAGTTGTTTTTCTTTGACCTAGATTCAAAAAGACTAGCTATTCATCTTGTCTTGATTGCTTGCTCAATCTTACTAGCTATAGAAAGAATCTCAATAAAGTTGTTTGATCTATTACTCAACAAGTAGTCACAATATAGTGCTTTAAAGATATTCATAAAAAGATAATAAGCTCCTTCTCAAGTAGAGATGGACAAACTTAGAAAGCTATTTTGCATCATTACTAGGTATATTCTCTCACAGATTCTTTTAAGTTTTTTCTCCATAAACCGTAAGTTTGACCTATTAAGAGCTATTTTCATATTGAGCTTATACTTGCTTCATGAATGCTTTAACTAAATCCCTATATTTCTTAAGCTTTGTTTGATCAAGGTGGACAAACCAATTTAGAGTGTCACCATTGAAACTTTCAAAAAAGTGAATCAAAAGCTTTTCATCATTAGCGACCTTTGTCATCTTGTTTAAATAAATCCTAAGATGAGTTCGCGACATTGATTCCTAGTATATTTAAAGAATTTGAGCACTTTAAACTTTTTAGGAATCATGAAATTTGGAATCATGCATTTATCCACATCAAAAGACAATCGTACATATCCATATCCTCAATGGCTCTAAGATGTTCCTCAATGACTCTAAGTTTCTCAATTTCAGCCTCTAAGCTCATTTTTCCTTTCGACTTTTTATTAGTAGCCAAGTCAATTATATGAGTTGCTTGAGTTTGCAAAGTATGTGGCTACTATGGCATCATATCAAAGACTTAGAAAGAGTTGGCTCATACATATCCTCATATGTAGTATGGCTAATTGGATTAACAATGCTAGCATCCTCTTGGTAAAGAGCGAGAGAAAGGTAGTACGAGTAATTATCACTCGAGTAATAGGTATCAATATGGTAGTGAATATCCTAAGAATGATTGACCCATTCTTTGATTTAGGGCACTTCGGTTGGTATGCCCCCAAGGGTAGTAGCGATAGTAGGAATTACGGTGGCCATAACTTTCGAGTTAGGCATAAAGAAAGGTGGCCTTGAAGATGCCATTTGAGAAGTAGAACTTGGTATAACGAGTGAACACTTTAGGAGTGACAAATGACTAACCCATTCTTTCATTTAGAGATGCTTTAGTAGGTAGACTTGTAGACTTTGCTCAACTAAAAAAACTAGCCTAAACACTCATGCTTTCAAAACACTTAACTCTTTCGATGATTTTGCTTGAGTTAAGCTTGCTTTTCATTGTCTATTTTTACTTCATCTTGAGTTGTTAATTCTTGGGGAAAAATTTATTTTTAACGGGATGAGTTATGCTTCTCTAC